TATCCACAGTTCATAAATCAATACCAAATCTCAAAGTAAAACGTAATTGTAAGCCAAACTGTCCAACTCACACAAAAATTTTAGATAGGCAATTAATAATACACTCCCCCAAACTTAAACAAAACGTTGTCCTCAATGTTAAACTTAAAGGAAAATGAGGAGGGCTTTCCTAAAATGTCAATATTGCATATGATGTTTTGATGTCTTGTTGTTTCATTTGATCAACTCTTCTTCCACATTCTCCCCTCAAACTTGAGATTTGTTTCATTTTCTCCATGTCCATGTTGGTTTAATTGTTCCGCGACGTCATGTTCCTAAAAAATCAAATTTGAAAAATTTAACTCATGGAACTAGGGTTACTTAACTCAAACATCTAATAAACAACTTAATTACTCAAAGGCCTATGGTTAGAAGGGTATGGGTGATGATTCCTAAATAAACTAAAAATTAAACTATCATAGAACTTTGAAAACAAAATAAATAAAATAAAAGTTTGGGTTGCCTTCTAAGAAGCACTTCTTTAAAATCATTAGCTTGACTTGTGGCCACGATTGATTATAGTGGCTCGAACCAAATTATTCCATCCTTGCATATTGTGCAATTTTTAATTATGCACCTTTTCTTGGCTTTCCATAATTTGATATTTCCATTTTTATTTCTACCAAAAAGTCCATCAAAATTTGATTTTCTTTTCTGGCAATCTCATTGATCAGGTGGCTCTTCTTTATCAACTCCACAATAACTTTTGATGTTGGGGGTTGCTCATATTAGGTGTAGATATTTAATATGTCTTGCTTGTCTTCCACCTCAATATTTGCTCACTCTTCTCCATGTCAATCAAGGTTAATCCCGTCGTTAAGAATGGCGGATCCAATATAACTAAAATGTCTTGATCTTCTGGTATGCCCAAAACAATGAAGTCCATAGGAAATATTAAATTTTCTGCTTTTACGAATATATCCACAGCTTTGCCACGTCGCCTTGCGATTGTTCTATTAGCTAGTTGCAGCGTTATTGATGTTGGTTTCACTTTATCCAGTCCCAATTTCCTATAAACAGAATACGACATTAGGTTGATACATTCCTCATTTAATGCCATAGTTTCAAACTTCGGAAGCCTTTTTCTTTGTCAACATCTCTTTCAAAAATTTTGCGTAGTTTGAAATTTGTAATATCGCATCAATGAACGGAATATTGATCTAGAACTTCTTAAGAACATTGAGAAAATTTTCATAATTTGTGTCTTATTTGTTCTTCTTGAGATTTTGAGGAAAGGAAATGGGAGTCATGTAAGCTTTGCCTGGACTTGGTGCTTTGGCAGCTGATGTTTTTGTACTTTCTCTATTTTCAGTTGCGATTGGTGCAGATTTTTCTACCATTGTAGCTTCATCAATTAGTTCCTGGTTATCTTTTCTTTTGGGTCTCTTTGTAGTAATCTCTGACGATTGTACCTCACTCTTTGTATTTATGACATGAATACTTTGCTCCATTGACTTCTTTTGAAGTCTTTAGAGAACTGAAAGTGGGGGTACTTATGCTTTAACTTTCACGGGGGCCCGAGGTCGATCGTTCCACTACTTTAATTGCCATCACTTGTTCTTTATGATTTATCATTATATTACCTGGTAATGTCCCTTGTGGGCATTCTGCGAGTTGTTGCGCTATCAAACCAATTTGTGTCTCTAGTTTCTTGATGGATTCCTACTGATTTTCAAAGTTTGTATCACTTTACTCAAACACCTTGTCCATCTTCTACACATATTGTTGAAACATTTCTCCCAAACTATGTCTTCTTTCTTGGTGGAAATTGTCCCCATATGAGTTCAAATTATGAAAGCCATTTTAAATAAAATTTACTTGTTCCTCCGAAGAAACAAGCATCAAACAATTTTCTGCTGAACTGGCCATCATGCATTTGTTCCATGTGTTTGCAATTTTACAAGTAACTCTACCTATTTTGTTAAAACTGCTATCTGTGCATTGGTAGATGTTGTGCTGTCTAATTTATACATTCCAGTTGCCTTTGGTGGTACCACTCTTTTTTATGAGAACATTGAATGTGTGATAGCAATTAACTCAAACAAATCCATGGTTTGTTACATTGATTTTCCTATGATTGATCCACCAGAAGAGGCATCCACTTGAGATTTTGACAGTGGTGTAAATCCGGTGTACAAGTACCGCACTTGGTTTCCTATAGTGATTTAATGGTTTGAACACATTCCATCAACTCATTAAATCTATTTCATGCCTCGTGATAGCTTTCTCACTCTCTTTGTCGAAAAGTTTGAATTTTCAATCTGATTTTAGCTACTTTTGCTGGTGGGAAGAATTTGTTGCAGAATATTCTGGTTAGTTTTTCCCTTGTAGTAATACTCCTATGAGGCTCCGTATCTAACCACTCCAATGCAGCATCTCTCAGTGTAAAATGGGAATAATGGCAATTTAATAACATCTTCATTAACTCTCGGAGCATGGAAGTTCTAACAGTTCCTGAGAAATTTTGATATATGGGTGTTCAAATTTTTATGAGGCAACCCGTAGAATTGAAGAGTGTTGCTCATAAAATTAATCCAATCTGGCCTGATCTAAAAGTTAATCACCCCAAAATCTAGATATATAATATTGGAGTGTATGGGTACTGCTATAGGTGTCAGGAATATTGAGACTGGCAATCTCCTTCATTTTTTTCTTCTCGCTCATGGTGTTGTTCCTGTGGTGCCTCCACTCTTACGGCGACTTGTCCAATTGGCTGAATAGGAATATGTTGATTGTCAACCATTTGATGTTGTTGTTTATGTTTGTGTTCTTTATGTCTTCGTCTGAAAGTACATCTATCTCCAAACCAAACGGTTTAAGATCGTCATCTTGGACACGGAGCATAATATGAACACAGTTTTATGTAAATAAAAGAAAATAAATAAATCAAATAATAGTTAAAAATAAAAATAAATTAAGACTAAAAGAAATAGTCCCCAACAACGATACCAAAAACTTCTTGTCAATTTTATATCCCGCAAGTGTACACATTGTAACAAGTAGTAAAGTGGACATTTTGAGTCCAGATTATCATTCATACGAGGACTAAACTTTAACACTTAATTTTTTTCTGACTTTTATTTGATAAAAAGAAACAAGAACAAGATTGGTTATGATTTTGAATCTAACTACTTAACAATATGTGGATGCACACAAAGAATAATTGAGAATTCAAATAATAAATGGATATTAGGGTGGAAAAATTTTATCTATTGATCACCTTTAAGTCTTAAATCAAGATTCATAAAATCTAAGGCAGTGTTCAGTCGGATTCTTCAATTGTATTCAATTTACCCCTCTCGAGTTCTCATTGAGCCTATTAACTACTTCAATTCCATATATCTATGTGAATCAAACCTAGTTAAACGAAATAATAGTTCTAAAATTTCATTTATGACTGCAGTAATTAATATAGGTATCTCTACATATTATATTAATTTACGAATTTTAATATGTGGTCTAAATCCTAAACTCCTATCTCTATCCATAAAGGATTCAAAAAATTGTCAAATTATTGATTAAGTAATTTAATGCATTCGCTTCATGGTAAAATCAACACACGAAACAGTAAAAACCAAGAATTTTAATAAGACAATATAAAGGATACCAATTGGTTTACATTATTCGTCCTAACAATGGATTTAACTACTTATTACGAAAGAAGAAAAACAATCAATTGTCTTATAATACATTACCGGATTTGTAGTAAAGATGTAGAAGAAAAATTAGAATTCTTTCATCAAGATCTCCTTCCTCTTACAATCAATCTGTTAAACCTTCAATTGATTGATGTTCCCTCCTTTGAATTCCTCTTTTGATTCTCCAATTATATTCTCTTGCCTCTCAATGTGTGAATTTCCCCTTTAATTCTCTTTTTCTAGGGTTGTATATATGTCTTCTTCAAGTCTCAGAAGAGTTTTAGTTGAGTTGGGCTTTTAAAAAAAATGAATTTAAAACCCTATTAGATGGCAGCGAGGTGCCTAGATGCTACGATTGGGCACCTAAGTGCTGATTTTCAGGGAAAAAAGCGGAAACATAGCCCTTGGGCTCTGTGGGATAGCGCTTGGGCGCTGCCGTCAATTTCGATTGTACTGAACAACATTCAATATTTTTATTATGACTTTTTCTTCTTATATTCAATGGAGGCGTTGGAAAACTAACTCAAAGGGCTACAACTTTATTTCAATACCATTTTCAAATTCAATCATTTGCTATGTCAAAAATGGGTCTTAATATGAGTCTGAAATGGTGCATAATTTTTTTCGATTGGAACTTAATGTGTGATCATACTTTGATTATATTTCATCCCTTTGATGTCTTTCTTTATCCAATTGACTCTGAACACTCTTGAATCTTCATCATGAGTTCCGACACAACTTTTAAGTATTTGCACTTTAGTCCCCGAACTTTGGATCTCTTACAACTTAGTCATTTCTCCAATTTTGTCAAATTTTGTTTATTTCCTTCAATTTCTTGTACAATTTTACCTATTCAACACCAAATGTAATAATTTAGATCATAATTCACCCGAGGAGCAACTAAATATCATCATTTTAAAACCTTGAATAGGTGTATTAAATACACTTATGAAATACCTATATGCTGCCCTCCGGCTGCCCAATGCACCAAGGCTCGGTGATTCAACCTTGTCCTCCCCACTCTCAAACCTTCACTGAACTATTTCCTTGACTCTTGGAAACTCACAAACGCATCTAACTATGTCCAAAACCGATGTTATTTGAAAATTCTGCCATAAGTTTTAACTTCTTTTGTAAAACGAGCCTCTATAATCAAATGTCTAAAGCTTTTCCAACTAATTTACAAAGAAATTGCTGGAAAATTCTCCAACATATCACTCTAAGGTAATTTTTTCAATCATTTTAGATGAATTAAAGTACCCATAATTCTTAAAAAGTAATAATAAAAAAAACAAGAGAGATTATAATAACATAAAAGCCCCTTTACATAATCCATCAAAAGTACGGAAAGCTGAAATAATAATCACAAGTGGTAAACTAATTTGCACAAGTCAAAAATATAATTACAGAAAGTGTCCTTTGCTTTACTCTGTTATCTCATAATAGAGTAATCAGCTCATAAATAGCCTAATAAAGCCTTTCGTTCCTTTCCATGGAAAATATTCCTGATCCATTAGTAGAATGCATAACATCAGCCAACAAAGGAAACTGTAAGAATGCAAATAGCGTGACTGGAACACAAGCAGTGAGAGCAATCAGGATAATAATCCAAGCCAGTTGATGTCCAACCACAATGAAAAAGCTTGCACTAAAAGCAAGTAGCATTGATGCTATAGAAAAGAAAAGTGTTGTTAGGCCAATAATCAGCCTCTTCGGCAAAGACTCAAGGAAATCTCCTTCAGCATAACGCGAGGTGAGTATAGATAAGAACATCAATATAGATGTCGCAGAGGAGAACAGAGCAAGTGCATCTGATATGGGGAAAATTATAAATGACTTGTCCTTAAGGAACATAGGGGTTCCTGTATTAGAGTTGTTGCCTCCTGGAACTGTAAAAATTGCAGCAAACATTACTGTAGTAATAAGTGTTGCAACAAGCATGCAGGATGAACCTGTATCCTTCATCCATTTCTCCCCACTCTCGACTAATCCCTTGTGTTCCTGAGTAAATAGCATTTGGGGTGTTCTACCTTCTGAGTCTTTCATTTCCATGTATAATGGCTGCATATTCTTCTCAACTTCCTTTGAATTTTAACAAGATGAAGAATTAAAAAACATGGGAAGCAATTTTAATTAATTTAAGCAAGCAAAAATAAAGTTTGAACACAATTTGATAGTCACCTTAAACCACAGCAACTCCCGCTGCATTTGAAGTGCTGCACCAGAGACAATTTTAAGTCTATTTGAAGGAGCCAAGTTTGCAGCCAAGTGTAACATATTACCATTGTTAGTATTCTTATAGGATGTGATCAAATCTTTGTGTGCTCCTATGTCATAAAGAAGTTTGAAGATTTTTTCTTGGCGATGAATAACAGCAATGTGAAAAATGCTTCGACTTTGCTCATCAACTTTCCAAATGAGATCAGGATAGGAGAGAATAAGCTCCCTGATGAACTGAAAGTTTCCAAATTCTGCAGCTATGAACAATGGTCGTGAAGGGCTCCTGAGTAACTTCGCAATTTCTGAGTCATCCAATAAGAAGATAACCTGTTTCCACAAGCATTCTACTAACTCCAGCGCTTGGGATTGCATAATCTTTTTCTCAATAACTCCCTGGATTCCTAGAGTTACAAGTAAACTAAATTCAATCATTAAAATTGACGGAAGATGCTTATAATGGGACTTGTAACGATTGAGAAGTCTGAAGGTGCTGGTACGACCAGATTTGTTCCACAGTTTTGCACTCACACCTGAAATATAACTAAGGTTTATTGACTGTGGATTTATGGAATACTTAATTCAATTTGAACACATAAATGCGAGTGCCTTTTCAGTTTTCCATTGCTTTGCCAGATGATTAGCCTATGAATGCCATTCTTGAATGTTGATGCGTATTCTCGAAGATATTAAGACACAGTTGTAATTGGTTATAACAACTATTTGACTACATAAGATTCTTAATATTTTCCATTGGCCTTTTCAGTCAAAATGAACTTTGTGATCCAATTGACCTGTCAGGGATGGAGCATCAAACAACTATAACTAGTCTTAATCCCAAAATTTCATAAAATTAACCCTGTGATAAAAATTTAAATAAAAATGTAAAATCTTACAGCGGTAAACACATCTCTGCCAGATTCCTAGTTCACTTTTGCCTGAAAATGCTGAAGGCTTTCGTGCTAGAACATGAAGTGCTGTCTCGCCATTGGGATCCCGTTTAATGGCTAGTTCTGGTTTGTGTTCAAGTATACGCAGAGCAACATCTACAAATAGTAAACAGTTAGCATCATCTTTGTTGTTTTATCTAGTTTTTATATATTCATGTGTTGGTGGAATACTATCGCACCATATAAATCAGAGCTAATAGTTGCAATTAGTAGCCCAACATAGTCCTCTTCGGTGAGAGATTGGCTATCTGTTACTGAAGAAAGATACCAGACCATGTCTCTATATCCTAATAAGGCAGCCATGTGTAGGGGTGTCACTCCCTTGCTACCTCTTATCATTGGCAAATAATGGTCTTTTGCTACCATTAACTCTGCAATTTTTGTAATACCAGATGCAACAGCAAAGCAAAGTGCAGTATTTTCATACTTATTTTTAAGTGCCAAATCCAATGGATCCATCGATTTGACCAATTCTTCTACAAATATTATCTGTTTTGCCCCTGCTGCAATATGCAGAACTCTTTCCCATCCTTTTGTGATCTTTGCAGTTATTGCCTCAGGATGCAGACTGAAAAATTCTTTTGCTTTTCGCCAATCGCCTTTGAGTGCAGCATGGTATAGAGGCACGTACTTTGCCAGATTCCTAGTGGATTTAGTCCCTTCTAATGGTAATGAACAAGAGGCCCAAGTCAGAAAACCAATATAATTTCGTTGATCAAAGTGTACAAAAGATTTTAACAATAGAGAAACCCAGTGAAACGTACATCATTTTTCTGTTTAACTATTGACAATATAAACATATGAAGCTGACAACAAAAGGGGCGAAAGACCAGTGTTTCCCTAAGCAAACAGATATTTATTACACTGGGAAACTTGGAATTCTCAGTCCTCAATAGCCCACAAATCCCCTGATTTAGACATAGAAATAAAGAATCTTATGGTAAAAAGAGTACTTACCGACTCCCTCCGAAACTGAAGATAGATGTGCTTGTGTGGTGCCAGGAACGGTATGCATGGATGTTTGACTTCGGATTTTTTTTGGTGGAGCTGCCATCAGACCACTGGAACAGTAGGTGAGCTGAACTGAAACAAAATGGCGAGAAGTGATGCCATTGTTGCTCAACTCTTGTTCTTCGCCACTGCCAGAGGCTGGGGTGGAGTTTGTTTCAGGGAAGCAAGATTGAATAGAAAGAGTTCTCTGAAGTTGAAACTGTCTCAAGTTTTACATTACTGCAACCAGCTCAACTACTACTTCAAGTTATGGATAAGAATAGCTACAAATGAAGAAGGAAGAAAGATTTCTTTAATAATGCTAAGAATGTCAAGGAGGTCAACTCCACCAGTGCATAGAAACTTCCAAGTTCACACACGATATCTCATGTAATGAGGGGAATGAAACCAAAATGGTAATTAAAAATTTAATGAGAAAGTGTGCTACGTTTAGAAAATGCTCAATAAAGTCAACTTAAGCAGTGCATGGAAAATTACCAAACGATGTGTGTTGTAATGGGCGGAATAAAATCAATGTAGTAGTTGAAAAATGAATGATAATAAGTGTTTCCGGACATTAAAATCTAGATATTTCTAAGTTCTTTTGATTAATTATGGTCTAATTCATAGCATATTTAATTTATTAGATAAAAATAGATGATTGAAAGTGGAATTGAACAAAAGAAACCAAAAAGGAGCGAAATTTCAAAGTTTTGGGACCTAACTGTAACTTTTCAATAGTTGATTCAAACAACGAGATGTTGATTAAAAATTATAAGGCTTTAATTGGATGCAATTTGAAGTTGAAGGGTCAAAATTATTTCAAGAAAGGACTCAAGAAGATTTTAAGGATTAAAAATTATAAGGCTTCAATTGGATGCAATTTGAAGTTGAAGGGTCAAAATTATTTCAACGAAAGACTCAAGAAGATTTTAAGGATTAAAGTGCATATTTATGAAATTTTACACCAAGCTATCGCCCAACATTTACTCTAGGCATCCATCCTACCAACAAAAACAAAAGCAGGGGTTAAAATTTAAGATCTGACGATTCCGTGGCAAATTTTAAATTTGATAGAACGAACTCTTCTTGAAATGAATTTTGGACACAATTTCCAACCTATTTTCAAGCCCTATAAGTATAGAACATAACCATATATTATGGAAATCTCTCGTACTACAAAATTTATCAATTAACATCAAAGAGAGGCCGTTCATCATACTTTTGGTAAATCAAGAGGCAACTACAAGAAGAAAAAAGCTGAGCTGCTAGAAGATATTTGACATAGGGGCTAGCAAATAGATATATTGTCATGGGACCTGCAAAAAAAATTATCCAAAAAAAGTGGGCCCTCCCCTTCCTGTGAGGGTCGGTTTGGGTGTTAGTCACCCATTCTTCTGGTAGTAGCAGTTCTGTTGCAAGAATTCATTAAATAATCAATGAAATCTTGATTTTTGGGCAAAAAATGGCGGGCACAACTACAATTCATCAATCATTGAAGATGTTCAAGATTTCAAGATTCATCATTTTCATCTTCAATACTCAAAATCTGGGTGATGTTTTACCAATTAATTATGATTTACATTTTTTTTTCTTTTTTTTTTTAATGCTAGGCTAGGGTTTTAATTACTAATACATAAATGAAACCATATTTTGAAGTTTTTAATTTGAATTCAATAATTTGACAGCTAGTATGTGTTAGAACTTAATGTTTTTCAACTAATTTAATTACTTATTGCATTGTTTTGTGAATTTTGTTACTCTCGAGGGAGAAAATAGGATAAATAGCATGTTATGACAATCATTATAAAGTCCGACAGGGATAGAGATATACTAATACACTATGCATGATTTCTATATATATTGTAGCATTTTCAATGTATCCTTTCATTTTCTCATCTTCCATGAAAGCTTAAGAAGGCTTCATGAGATGATAGATTTAATTGGCATTAAGAGATGCTTTTAATTAACTTAGAAACATTAGTCATCAAGAATGTGCACAAATTGTCATGTTATTAAACCCTTGTTTTAACTTCATTTTAATGAAATTTGGGGGGGGGGGGGGGGGGAAAATAATATTTTTTTTTGTTGTTTTTTATTTTTTGTGAGTGGGGGGGGGGGGGGGGGGTATATATATATATATATATATTGGAATGGTAATTTTTTGGACAATGTAGTTAAAAAGTAAGAAAAATGTTGATTTTACATGTAATATTATTTTATTAGAAAATGTACGATTGAAAATTAATAGCCTAAGAATAACAAACTAATAGGGGGTGAATTGATTTTCAAGAACTGTTTCGAAAGAATAATCTAAATTCAAGTAAGTTAAGAAATAAAGGATTAGTCAAATGATACGTGGAAATACAAAAACAATAAGTGAAAGCGAAGAGAGGATGCAAACGATATAATTATGAAGTTTTGATCCAAATCAATGATCTACGTCCTTTGTTACCAAATTATCCGACATAAGCAAGGCCTTTTTGCTATGTTTGATTGACTTGTGGTACAATCAACTCTTTTACAATGCTTCCAATGACTTACCAAAAAAAAAAGCACCGATCGTTATACAATATTAAGCTTTACAGGATCTCAATATGACCCACACTATTAAAATTGATGGGACCTCAATATAACCCAAAAACAAGAAGAATATTTTTACAATTGAAAATTCTCTCTTAATAAATGATACAAATGAAATAAGTATCAAGAAATGCTAATACTTCAATAAATTGCAATAAATGAAGCTCAATTGTTAGATGAGAACACTTTGATGAAAATATGATCTCAAAAGAATCGGACTATTTGGAGGAGTTGGAGACCCCATCTATAAAATAGAGGGGTAGAGTTTTTTCCTCTTGATTGCAACTTTCTCCAGACCTCCGGGAAAAGCATGAAAAAAAAAGGCTCAATTTGGGATCCTCATTTTGGTCAACCGGCTATGGAAGCTTTTACTCGAAGGGGTGCTCTTGGCCACAAATAATTGAAATTCTATTTCTTGATCTGTAAACCAGCGTTCTTAAGACCAAAGAGTCGGGTGGAAAGGGGGGATCAAATTTAAAATAAGTAATTTGCTTGTCGCGATCCCACGAGGGTGAGCTAACCCCAAAAACCCGTCCTCAATCGGCTAAGTTCATGAGTTGGAGATATTCCCGAAACTCACACAGAAAACAGGAAGTGAGTTGCCCGAGCGGTTAATGGGGACGGACTGGTTGGATAATTTTTATGGATTATGTCATTTCACCGACAATTTAAAACAGACTTTTCAAATAATTAAATATTATTTAATGGATAAAAATGAGAAAATTTACTCTGCCGGTATGAAAAGTTCTTAATGTTAATTGTGGCCTAAAAAAAGTAATCTTTCTCGATAAAGTCGGTTGATTAGGGTAAAATTGTTAAATCAATTAAGAATTTTCAAAATAAATGATTTGATGAAATAAATAAGATTTAAGTTCAAGGAGTTTTGCTTAAGAGTGTATCACTTTTCTGCTTAAAGAATGTTACAATGAATGCAAAGATTGAATGTAATTATAGAGTTAGAGGAGCAAAAAAAGTTTGTGAAACTGGAAAAGGATCCGAACGTCCGCTTTCTTGTTCGGATGTACGAAACTAACCATTGTGTGCCAAAAATTAGAATGATCAAAAAAGATAACTGCTACACGAATCGAACGTCCATATGGATGATTCAGACATCTGCTTATATTGAACGTTCACTTCTTGAACCAAACATCTACCTTTCATAAGTTTTGTCCATTTCGACTTTATTTGATCCAACTTAATTGTATTTAAAATGTAAGCTTGTGTTTTCAAATTATAATCTAATTTCAGTTATAATTTTAAAAATCAATTTTGCTTTTAATAAAAATATTTTATGCAAGTGATGATCGAAATAACTTTTAGTGTATAAAAATGATTTTTGGGCTTTTAACATTTATTGATAAAAATGGAAGTGGCTATACCTTTACAAATGAGTAGGAAACCTCTAGTCTAATGCACTTCCTTTGACTTTTGTAGCTCTTGTCTGGAATGAGTTGACTTAAATAATCGACTTTCATCTTGATATTTGTTATGAGTTCGATTTACAACTTGAAAGTCTTCATAGCGATCTTTATGTCCACGATCGATAAATTTTGCATTGAATACTTTGAAAATCTATAACCACAAACAAATTAATTTTTAAAATATAATATTATCTTGTTTGCTTTGAAAAAAATATTAAGGATAAAGTTAACCATAGGTTAATGAAAATGAATTTTAGAAAAATATATTATTGGTTTATTGGAGCCAAACAAGAGAATTGCATCAGAACGGGTTAATAAGGGAGATTAAATGTCTGAGTAATTGTCCAATCTAAATTTACATAACCTTCATAATTTGCTCACTACAATTGTTAGTTTAATTAGATTAATTAGTATGAATCTTTCAAACAACTTTGACTATTCGGTTAGAGTTACAATTGATTGACGCTAGATTAAGTACATAATTTTCATTGGGACGGTATCATACTCAATTCTTTATTACTTGTTTGCGAAATCGTACACATACGAAAAATCAAATGATCAAATGAGAAGTACATAATCCCCCAGTTGTTTACTAATCTCCCAGAACTCTTCTATTCTAAAACACATTTTCAATTACATATTCTAAAAATAAAAAAATTTATACTTAAACTCAAAACTTTTTTCCTACCTTTTAACCACACATTTTATAAAAAATCACTATTTTCAAAACTCTTTTTCAAAAAAAAAAAAATAATAATAATAATAATCTCTTTTCTAACGGGCATGAGACAAGGGTAATATGAACAAAAATATTCATAATATAGGAGCATGGGGGCCATGGGACCTCCAGCTTCAAGCCAATATTGCCTGATTGTAGGGATTCGTTGACTGCCCAACCATGAAATATTAATAAGAAGTACACGTTTTTTATATTTTATTTTTCAATTTAACATGAAGAAACTCTAATTCTTTTAATTCCAAACT